CCATCGAATTCAAACAGCCATAACTCGGTGAAAAATCAACCAAAAGACAAACCGTTTTCGTCTATATCACGAGCAGAGATCGGAGAATCTACCCACCAAAAATCGCTCCAATCCGCCTCGAATAACCCAGCCATTTGCCCTCTCAAACTTCCGAACAGAAGCTGACCCTCTCACACAATCACCTAACTCCTCTCTCAACCCTTTCTCTCTGATTCTTTTCCTCAAAAGCGGCCAGAACACTGTTTCTGCCTTTTATATCGAAACCTAGGRTTACTCTAACCAACACGCAAACCGTGCGATCAAACCCGACTTCCCGGTCTGATTAACGATTTGCGTCGCTCGACGCAACACCAAAAATACACATTTTGGTTCACGGACGTTACAAATATAACGTTCATATTTTATGAAAAATATAAATCTTAAAAATAATATGAAAATATTCTTTTTCTTTTAATATTTTAGAAATATGATTAACGTCAGTTGATTTTTACTAATTGTTTCAACTATAAATTCATAAGCATATTTTTCCTTTTTTTTAATATATGTAATATATATATTATTATTTTTTCATTAATTTAATTAGTGTTTGACGTTTTTATTCTAATTATTTTTATTAGTTATAAATAAACAAATAAATATGATTTAATGTGTATTAAATGAACATTATAAAACTTAAATGTCTTTAAAAAATTTAGCTTTGCCTATTTGGACACTGTAAATGGAGATAAAACTCTCTAATTATATAATAGATTTATATAGAGACTAGGATTATAAAAGAGTAGAAACGTTATGCAATGTTAGTGGTATTCTATTATTTATCATGATGTCAAGTATATTTGCAACAAAAATTCTGAGGGAGAACCACTTAAACATTACGTTATGTTGTTGAAATGACACTTATGATGAAAATTGAGAACTAATCTATGTAAACGATATCACACAAAAATAATGCAAGTTATTTAATACTTTAATCTCAAACGACTAACATGAAATTATAATAGAATTGGATTCATTTATTGAATATACGAGTGCACTT